TTTAGTAGAGACGTGGTTTCACCATGTTGACCAGGATGGTCTCGATCTCTTGACCTCGTGATCCACCCGCCTCGGCCTCCCAAAGTGCTGGGATTACAGGCGTGAGCCACCACGCCCAGCTATTTTTTAATTTTTAAATGAAGACAGGGTCTTGCTCTGTCACTCGCCTTCCAGCAATTCTCACGCCCTGGCCTCCCAAAGGGCTGGGATTACAGGCATGAGTCACCGGCCATGAATCCTCAATTCTTAACCACTTTTTGAGGCAAGGGATATTTGGTCACTCAGAACTTTTCAGCCTGCAATCCTTCCATAATAACAATAATTATTACTTATTGAGCATGTATTACCTACCAGGTGATTTTGATACATCATCTCATTTTCAATGTAGCTATCACCCATATTTCACAGGTGAAAAAACTTAAGTTCAAAGAGGTTAAGTAATTGGCCTATGGTAACCAAGTGTAAGTGATTCAGCCAGGACTCAAACCCATGTCTGATGCAACTATATCTAAATAAAATGAACAAATACTCATCAGTTCTAAAATATGGGCATCCCAAAACAGCAACCTTAGTTTCTCTCCTCTTATGCCGTGGCTTCTAACTCTAATTCCTTTCCTGCACAGGTTTCCCTGTCTCCTTTCAGTCCCAGGGTCAACTCTGCCATTTCCTCACCATGTGCATCTTCACGTGCACTGCTCAGCATGCAGCCATCAACCAGGGCCAGGTATGGACAGCTGAAAGCACAGGTCCCTGAGGGCAAGTGTCTGGTGCCTGGGAGGCCTGAGGGAGAGACGGGAGTTCAAACCCTAAGTACCAGGGTTCTAGTGTTACAGTTCCTTCCTCCAGCTGGACTGGTATGCCTGGGTTCCTAATGCCCCATGCACAATGCGGATGCCCCCACCCACCACCAAGGAAGACGTGACAATGGCCACAGTGATGGGGTCACTACCTGATGTCCGCCAGGCTTGTCTTCAAATGACCATCACATGGCATCTGGGTCGCCGCCAGCCGGACATGGTGAGAGGGGACTCTTAGGAGAGAGAAATGACAGAAGGAAACATCAGAGTGGGGGTCTGGGCTCTAGATTCGATTGTCTTTAGAAACTGATTGATGATCCCTTTGTTCTGTCTCAGGTGCCTCTGGGGCATCACAAAGAAAAATATTTCTCAGGCCCCAAGCCCAAAGCTGTGCTAAACCAATTCCGAACAGATTTGGAAAACCTGGAAAAGGAGATTACAGCCCGGAATGAGCAACTTGACCTGCCCTATGAATATCTGAAGCCCAGCTGCATAGAGAACAGTGTCACTATCTGAGCCCTAAAGTGACCCCGCCTGCAATACTTCACATCGGCTTTAGGACTGACATTTCTATCTTGAATTTCATACTTTCTCCTAAGTCTCTGCTGCTAAGGCTCTATGTCCTCCCCCAGTTAAACTCCCTACATTAGTATCCCACTAGCCCAGGGGAGCAGTAAACTTTCTCTGCAAAGGCTAGATCATATTCTAGGCTTTGCAGGCCACATAGTCACTGTCAACGACTCAGCTCTCCTGCTGCAGCATGAAGGCAGCCACAGGCAATATGGAAATGAGCATGACTATGTTCCAATAAAACTTTATTTATGGACACTGAGATATGAATTTCACATCACAAAATAGTCTTCTTTTGGTTTATTCAACCATTTAAAATGCAAAAAAAAAAAAAAAATCTACAAACAAACAAATGTGCTTTGTTTGAGACATTAACAGGCAGGCTACAGACCAGATTTGGCACTTGAACCCTGCACTAGCCTGAGGCCCTGACCCTGCTTCCAAAACATCCAAGGTCATGGAGCAGGGGGATTTCTTAGAAAAATCAACCACCTCAGCTTCATGCCTGGTGGCCAGCATACAGATTCCTGGCTCTACTCTTTAGCAATTTCCTTCCACCCATATTTCTCCTATTCACCCATGTACCTCAAAAGTGTCTGAGTAAGAATAGTGTTTTTAGGGCAGAATAAAAACCACTGCCCCAAAATGGCTTCCTTGCCCAGACAGTCCCAGGTAAGAGGCATGTATTTCATGTTTCAAGGCCACTTTCCCAGCCCCTTTAACACTCTAGGATCTATGTGTTTCCCACATTCCAAGTTCTCTTTTGCAAGCCTTTTAAGAACAATATGCACAAAATAAATAAGAACTACAAAATTATTCTAGCCAGCGACAGTATTTCCTTGTTTGGTCCTGGGGTCTCAGGGTCAAATGATCCCTCTCAATTATTCTGAGGTCATTGTCCTCATTAGAGTGGGTACAGCCTGCTCAGTGCAAAATTGTGTGTTTGTGTGTCCCTCTGCGCCCAGGCTGGAGTGCAGTGGCCCCATCTCGGCTCACTGCAACCTCCGCCTCTCGGGTTCAAGCGATTATCCCGCCTCAGCCTCCCGAGTAGCTGGGATCACAAGCACACGCCAACACACCCGGCTAATTTTTGTATTTTTTAGTAGAGACGGGGTTTCGCCGTATTGACCAGGCTCGTCTCGAACTCCATACCTCAAGTGATACGCCCGCCTTGACATTCCTGTTTCTAAATAATTATTACAGATCTGTCACTCACCAGTTAAGTATACAAACAGCTTTTTTTGGAGGGGATAACCTATTTATATTTTTTAATATTGTGTTCTACGTTATTCAAAAGACCTATCATCAGTTTCCCTAGTTTAAAGTAGAGAAGCCAAGTGACATCTTTGTATATTTAACAGAACTGCTCACCTTCACAACCAGCTCATAGTCTGCTTTCCCTGGACTTTTCCTAACCGCCCATTTTTCCTGGATCTGGCATCTAGAGTTACAGTATTTCAAATGTGATGATAAAATATTACTTAGGAGAAAAAGTTCCAATACTAATAACCCTCAGCAATTTTAAAGCGTTCTAGCCACACCAGAAGGGGATCCTAACTCCTTTATACTGTTAGAATCTCGATTTTTAAAAGGGATGAGTAAAGAAGAGATAGAAACGCTCCCTGTTGGTGAAAATCCGTCTCACTTACCATTTTCCCAACACAGGAGAGAACCCGAGACTAAAGTATCAGAGGTAAAAATCAGATGGTTCCAATCCTCCGATCTTAAGACCCCATCGCGCCAGTTACCAGGAGCTCCACCAGTTAGAATTTTTCCCCCAAGGCCGGGTTATTGCTAGTTCCTCGTCACGTGACTCGCCAGACTTGATCACGTGACATGCCAGCTCCTTCCATTCCTGTTCGCAGGTGGAGGGGGACCAAGAAACCGGAGGCCCTCGCTCTTCCAGTACTCACGCCCCAGCTACAGAGGTCAAGAAGGGTTTTCACAGAAGCTGTATCGGTTTCAGCCGGCGCCGTCTCCCATGAAAGTCCCTAGAGGAGCCCAGCCTTGTCTGCCTGCCACCCCCGGGCGGGATGGTTGAGGCCGGGGCCACGCCCCCTCCGCAGCCCGCCGAACGCATCCTCGGCTTTCTCCCACCGCTTTTCCAGCCCGGTTGCACCTTGGCGATCTCCGACTCCCTTCTTCATGGCGTCGCTCCTGTGCTGTGGGCCGAAGCTGGCCGCCTGCGGCATCGTCCTCAGCGCCTGGGGAGTGATCATGTTGGTGAGGGGACTCCCCGGCAAGGATCCGAGAGGGCCTGAGGGGTTCCGGGCTGGGAGCTAGGACACTCTGGGCCGCAGGCAGGCCGAAGGAGCCGGGGATCAGCTGGCCCCGGGGGAAGAGACAGAGATTGGAAAATGGGAACTGGAGCGAAGGGCCCTGGAGTGGGAGGAGCTGGGGCTGGTAAATGTGGAGACCCCTCAAGACAGGAGAAACAAGAGCGGGGTTCCTGAGAGGTGCTTGAGTTGAATGGAGGACATGGGGGGAAAGAGAGTGCTTGTTTTAGAAACGGGTAGTTGGGCCTTGTTTCCCCAGTAATCCACCCACCGCCACTTCAAGAAGAAATGAATATGTAGAAGTGCCGGTTCTCCCTCCCCTCTTCCGCACTGTCCCGTGATGGTGACGCCTCCAGGGAGGACGATCTGCTGGGTTCCTGGGAGAGATGGCTTGGTCAACCTATTCCTACCCTTGCCTCAGCCACCTGTCTCAGTGTCACCACCTCACGCCCTGTTCCAGGTGGCTGAGTCCGAATCCAGTAACCACCACCTCGTTTTGGTTAATCTCCGGCTCGGGTGTTGTAGCAACATTAGAAATGGGAGGGGTTTACGAAGTGAACGTGAGGGCAGGTGCCTGAATTCAACAACCTACCCATTCCCCTTTTCCAGATAATGCTCGGAATATTTTTCAATGTCCATTCCGCTGTGTTGATTGAGGACGTTCCCTTCACGGAGAAAGATTTTGAGTAAGTAGTCGGGTGGGGGAGGCGGGCTGGGAGCATGTGGGAGGAGGCGAGGCCGGGTGATCTGGGCCCCTAGGTTTAGACAACTGGGAGAGGAGAGCTGTTTTCTTGAGAACGTAGTTAGGAGCTAGGGAGTCAGACCTCAGCCGCCATCCCAAACCCACCACTCGAGGTGTGGCGTCTTTAGGTATTTTACCTTTCCGTCCGTCTCAGTCCACCTCTGCAAAATGTCAGCTATAACAGATCTCAGCCCATGGGATGGTCGAGAAGACTGAATAATACACGTAAGAGCGCCTAGACCGCTGCCGGGCACATAGCGCTCGGCAAGTGTTAACTGCTCTTAATGTTTGACACCTTTGCTTCATTCCCACCCCCAGGAATGGCCCCCAGAACATATACAACCTTTATGAGCAAGTCAGCTACAACTGTTTCATCGCCGCGGGCCTCTACCTCCTCCTCGGGGGCTTCTCTTTCTGCCAAGTTCGGCTCAACAAGCGCAAGGAATACATGGTGCGCTAGAGCCCGGGAGCGTTTCCCAGCTCCAGCTCCTCCTCTATTTAAACACTCCCTGCACCACGTGACCCCGGCCGCGTCCCACCCTTGCCGGCGCCCTCTGCGGGACTGGGTTTCCTGAGCGAGACTGAATCCCGTCTTCTCCCATCCCTGGCATCGGCCCCCTTAGAGAGGGCTGGGGCTGGGGGGGCTGTTCCCTCTTTCCACCCTTCTCTGCGTCCCGAATCTCAATAAAGAGAATCCGCTCTCTTAAGCCCTATGTCTGTGCTTCAGTGGGGACGGGCACGGGGCTGAGGCGGGAGGTCGGATTCGGCCCGAGGAGTCCCGACCCCTGAGCGGAAGTGGAGTGAAGTGGCGCGGAAGTGAGGCTACGGCTTTCCCCTTCGCCCCGAGGCGTCGGGCGGTCTAATCAACTGCGTCTGATGGGGCGGGGAGCCGCCGGGTTTCAGCCTATCCGCTGCGGGACGGGCGGGACTTCCTGCGCGGGGGTCCGAGTCGCTCCGTCTCCCGGCTCTCCACGGTTCTGGCTCGCGTGTAGCGGCGGCAGCAGCGGCGTCTCCGTGAGGAGGCGCGCGGGACCATGACGTCAGCGTCCACAAAGGTTCGACCTCCCTCGCGGACAGCGCTCCCTGGCGGCCACGGGAGGGCGGGCCCCCCATTTGGCGCGTGGCTCTTCCGCCCCGGGCGGGGGGCGGGGGGCGGGCGAGAGCCGAGCCTGGGGTGGGGCTAGGGGCTCCGGGCGGGATGGGGAGGGCGAGCGCCGGCCCCCCGTGACGCTGCCCCGCCCCCAGGTCGGGGAGATCTTCTCGGCCGCCGGCGCCGCCTTCACGAAGCTCGGGGAGCTGACGATGCAGCTGCATCCGGTGGCCGACTCTTCCCCTGCGGGGTACGTGAGCCCGGACGGGGACGTGGACGCTGAGAGCGGGCGCTCGGACGCGGTCACAGACACGGACCCTCTCTAGCACAGGGACAGACGTTAGTTTCCCTTTGTGCCTGGTACAGCAGAGTAGGTGTTAATAAATGATCGCTGGATAAGGAAATGAATGACAGATGAAAACACAGGCCCGTAGCCCAGACACCTCTTTCATGGTTCTCCCTGCTGCGAACGGGCCGACCACAAACCACCACCACTCCCAACCACCCCAGTTTATGGAATTCCCCCAGACGGCTACAGGCTGTGTTCGGAGGCCCTGTCTGTAAAGCCCCCTCCTGGCGAATTGGTTTTCAGTGCGCTATGTACAGCAGCCGTGTAACGTTGATGATGGAGAGGGGTGTTCTAAGGTGGAGGCGATTGGGATTTGTGATTGGGGTCCTCCCCGTTCCCGCAGGGCCTCAAAAGCTTTTTTTCCTCCCCTATGGAGGATCTCTTAATGCATCCGTGGAAAGGGTCCCAGAAGTCGGGAGGAGGCGGCTGGTTTGCTGTGGGACACATAGCCTGTGGGCTGGCCCCACACCCCTCCTCCCATTTTTGCTATCCCCCCCTCTCCCCTTCTGACAGTGCGAAGTGGACGGAGACGGAGATAGAGATGCTGAGGGCTGCTGTGAAGCGATTTGGGGACGATCTTAATCACATCAGCTGTGTCATCAAGGAACGGACAGTGTGAGGGAGGGTGGCTGCCAGAAAAGGGGGGTGGGCAGCTTTCTTCCTCCTTACCCAAGGCTCCATCGTCCTCAGAACTCCTTTCCAGCTCAGCTGCTTCCCTACTTTGTTGCTAGTTTTGTTAGAATCCCCTTGGGGACTGAAAGAATAGAATTGTCACCGTTGGTCAGAATTTCCTAAAATGCTGTGGTAATCCTTCCAAGAATGTGAAATTTAGGTTGCCTGAGATACTCAGTTACTGTATTTGATGATGGAGGTCCCCTGGTTATTTATATAAATTTTGGGGGACCCTACTACAGTGTTTCCAGGGGTATGATGATCCTGAACTAGTTGATCAGTAAATCGAGATCCACCTGTAAACCACCAAGCCTTACCTGATGTCTCTCCCAGAAGAGAATTCGGAGTCCCCACTACTCAGTTCAGGGACTCCACTCCCAACACTCCATCCACCCTGAGTGAGTGCAAAGCTTCAGGACAGTGAGAACCCTACCAATGGGTTGGGGCCCCGACCTGGATTCTTAGGAAGGGACTCCCTGAACCCCTTCCTCTCCCCTCCCTTCTGTTAGTCTCTCTGATGACTCCTTTCCTAACCTCTTCTCTCTTTTCTGCAGAGCTCAGATAAAGGCCACTGTGAAACGCAAGGTATATGAAGACTCTGGCATCCCCCTTCCAGCTGAGTCACCCAAGAAAGGGCCCAAGAAGGTGGCATCTGGTGTCTTGTCACCTCCAGCTGCTCCTCCTCCCAGCAGCTCCAGTGTCCCTGAGGCCGGGGGTCCCCCCATAAAGAAACAGAAGGCTGGTGAGGGCTGTGGAGTTGCTGCCTAGGGGTTAAAGGTCCCATCTGAGGTTCAGTGAGAGAAATGGGCCTGGGTCAAAAAAGGGTCAATCTCTCTTCCTGTCCCTGTGGAGGTTCCCAGAGAGGGGCAGAGGGGAGGGGAAGCACGAAGCTTTGGGAAGCTCGGGGTCGGGGGAGAGGCTGTCAGGGAAACCTAGAACCTAGCTTATGTCCCCCTCCCAGATGTGACACTCAGTGCTCTGAACGACTCCGACGCCAACAGTGACCTGGTGGATATTGAAGGGCTAGGAGAGACTCCTCCAGCTAAGAAACTCAACTTCGACCAGGGTAGGAGTCTTTGACCCATACAGCTGACGGGGTGGGGAGAGAGTGCTCACCTGGATGGCCGGGTAGGGTCTCCACAGGGGCCCCTCCCTTGTATAGGGCTTTCAGAAGAAAAGGTGCTCTCACAGCACAGGGCATTGGGTCAGTCCATAGCAGGGTGTTTCAGGGAGGTGGGACTGGCCTCAGAAGCACACTGGGGGCTCGCTCCATCTCGGCCCACTTTACTTCCTGTTCCAGACAGCCTGACCCTGGATTCTGGCCTTCTCATGACTTCTGCTGATCCTCCTCTCCTCTCCTGCTGAGGCTTCCACCTCTGACCCCTCTCACTGTTCATGCCAGACCTGTGGATCGCCTGGGACTCTGAGCAAGGCCTGCACGAGAAAGGGCTGAAAGGCTGCTGGGGCTGCCACCTCGCTGTTCCCACATAAGCATCTGCTCCCAACCCCTTTAACCTTCATCTGATGGACATTTTTATACAGAAAATAATAAAGATTTCCCTCTCAGCTTCGTGCTGCCTGCTTCACATTATTAACAGGAGAGGGCTGTCCCCTTTCCTCGGCCTGTAGGGGCTCAGCCCCTCCTCAGTTGCTCTCGCCACCCTGCCTGCAGCAGCACAGCCAATATTGGCTGACTTGCTTCCTTGTGCCAATATTTCTGTGCTGCTAGAGCCAGGGAAGCTGGGTGTGGGCAACAAAGACTTCACTTTGTTCTCTGGAGGCAGAACTTACTCCCAGGGTCTCTGGCCGTCAGTATTCTTGAAACTGCCCCGAAAATTTTAGAGGGGCTGTTTCCAGTGCTTGCATACCCCACCTTCTCTTTCCCCACCTGGCAAGAAGTTTGTCATAAGGCCCCAGATGTTTTTTGTGTCACTTCTCCAGGACGGCCTCCCAGGGCCAAGCCTCGGCGGTGCCTCCCCCACCCTCGCTCTAACACCACAGTGTGGTTTGGACGTGGCCACAGTGCCGTACAAACCACAGTGTGCTGCTGGGGCGGGAGCAGGACCGGGTGGGTTGAGAGGAAGAGCACACAGCAGTCCCGGGAAGACCCCAGCACCACCTGCAGGAGCAGGGGGAGAGAGAAGCCTTAAAAGGCAAACATGGCCCCCCAAAATGGTTGGGAGGAACCAGGGACAGGAGCTGAGCCGGCAACTGGAAGGAGAGGGGCCACAGGGATGAGCTCACAGTGTAGTAAGATTGGGCCACCTTCCCTCTGTAGGGACTCAGCTCAGGGGATCTCTAGGGTAAGGTCGGAGGCAAAAGAAACAGGGAATGACTGGGGGGACCAACAGACTGCCTCCTGTCTCAGCAAGGGCAGGGACCCAAGGCTTCCTGTGTCCGTCCCTCCCCTCCCTGGGTCAGAACCCAAGAGAAAAGCAAGGAGAGACAGAGGGCCAAGGCCAGCAGGGTTGGGAGTTGGCAGTCCAGAGGTGGTGGGGCCGGAACATGGTTGGGAGAGGGGGGCCGGAAGTCGCCCTGGGCCCTGGGCCTGCCACAAGATGGAGGCCAAAGGCAGGAAATGGAGACCAGGGGGAAGGGGAGCAGCAGAACCCAGGAAGAGGGCCATCTGGACCTGGGGGGCCAGGTATTCAACCCCCAGTGCTGTTCCCACTCCCCAGGGCCCCTCAGGACCTGAGCCTGCCCCCACAGCAACCTCCATCAGCCCATCCACCAGGCCAAGGCAGGCGGGCCCACCCCAGAGAGCCACGTTTAAGCTGAGACAAACATGCCTCTCCCCACCCCCAACGCCAGGCCTTCCCTCAGCCCTTTTCTCCTGTCCAGGACTTGATTTTTTAAAAATACCCCTTAGAAAGCAAAATTCAAGGGCCAAAATCCCTTCTGCACGTCAAAATATTACCCCCTAAAATCCAGAAGTTACCCTCCTATATCCCATGGCATCTTTTACCGCCCCCTCTTCCGACACACCCCCCAAAACTCTGAGCAATCTGAAAGATCTAAGGTGGTGTATGTAAGCAGTCTTTTTAGGCCCCCGAAGATGCCAGACCCCTCCCCGAGACCCCTCTTTGTCCTCCATCAAATTCTGCGAAGGCCTCCTGCTCCTCCTCCACCCTCCAGAGCCCCCAAACTAAGAGTTGCCCTCAGCTCCCACCTCGGCAGAGCCTTTGTGGGGGTGAAAGAGAAATTAAACACTATCCTAATGGCTGGGGATGTTGAAGGGCTCTCTGGTCTCAGCCTTTGGTTTCTGTCTGGGGGGCTGCAGTTTAGGGGTGTAAGAGAAAGCCTCTCCAATCATCCCCCCCAATTCCAAGACTGACAAAGCCCAACCCCACCCCAGCACGCACCTCCAAACCTCCCCCCAACCGCCATGTCTCCTGAAAACAGAGGACACTTCCCTCCCCACTTACCTCAGCTACTCTCCCCTGAGATCCTGGTCCCCTATTTTGAAAAGAGCAAAATTTGGGGTGCATCCCTCACATTTGGGGTGCAGGAGAAAGGAGCCGCCCCAGTCGCATCGCTGGCCTCCTTCCTCTCGGCTGGCTCAGGGGCTGGGGAGTGCCCTGGGGAGGGGGCACCCCCACAAGAGAGCTCAGGAGGGGGTTCCTCCACTCCCAGTCAGAATTGGGGACACCCCCCCAAAACCCGTCCCAGCCCATCCGTCTCCAACTCGGCGGGAGAGGCAGCTGCAATGCCCCAGTCAGATTCCCCCAACACTACATTCCTCACCCTATCTAGAGGGGTCCTGGGGTCCCCAAAAAATCCCAAAAAAATCTAGGATGTTGGGGGGACGGTCCTGGACTAGCTCCCCAAATTTGGGGTCCTCAGATAGCCCCGTTTTTTCAGGAAAATTCCGTCTTTTGCCTGCCTCCCGCCAGCCCTGCTCTGTCCCGATGCCAATTTTGGAAGTCACTCCCTCCTTCCTCCTCCCCGTCTCTCCAGCACCCCCCCCCCACCACCGCTCGGGGGCTAGGGTCCAGGACACCTGGCTTCCAGACCGGGGGAAGCACTCTTCAAAGGGCTAGGGGCCAGGAGGTCAAGCTCATTGCCCCTGTCTTAAGGAAGCAGGAAAGCCCGATCCTCCCTTCCCCTCCCCCCTGGCTGGTCTCCGTGGTGGTTTAGGAAAGCCTGGAGGATTGGAATCTGCCATTGCTGTTGCACAGGCAGTTTTTTTTTCTTGGGTTGGGGGGGTGGGCGGTGGGAGGGAGAGAGGGGAGGAGAGTCGAAGAGAGAAGGGACCCAGGCGCGAGGAGCTGGCCTGGCTTACCCTGTAGCCCCGGCTGCCGTGGGGAACCCCTCCCCCCGTCTCACCCACACTCCCAGTCCTCTGTCTGCTTTCTGTTTGGGGCTCATACTAGAAAATTAGGGTACAAGAATCACCTACTGTACCCCACCAGTACCCCTTCTTGCCACAGTTCCAACAGCACTGCTCTGATCAGGGGTGTCCACTTTGCCAAGAGACACCCCATTTTCCTTCAACTTCTCCCAAACTTACGGTGTGCTCCCTTAAGAAAGTGGGGTTCAGAGTCTGAAACCACCTTTTCTCCTTCTCGTCTCCTTCAAGCCACATAATAATAAAAGGAGATACCACACCCTTTCCAAGTTTCTCCCTTCGAATCCTGGGCTTATTTGGGGGTTCACGAAAGAAATTTCTAGAATCCGGGGTGAGAAGTCACCATAAGCAAAAGACATCCCAAACCAGGATCGTGCTCCAAATTAAGTGAACCCCCAAATCAGTCTCATATTTTGATCATCCCTTCACTTCACCAAAAGCATCCAGAGTGATAAACCCCCTCCCCCAAAGTAAGGACATCCCAGAACTTTAGTCTCCTGTCCTCGTGGCCCTCACCTTGTTTCTCCCCCAGGAAAAAGCATCTTGGGTATTTGTGCACACACAGGAATAGCCCACGTCAAAGTGAGTTTCCACAAGACTCAAATATAAAAGTTTGCTCCCCCCCCAGGACCCCCAATCACAGAAAGCCTTGAACCTGCTCCCAGCCTCCTATAATATTCCACCTCAAACTAATTTTTAAAACTCCAAATTGAATTTCCTGTCCCCCAAATCTAATCTGAGGCTTGAGACTTAGATGGCACCCCAAAATAGACTGCACCCCCAAATCAGCAGGAGTACTTTGGCTCTGCTAATAATCCAAGATGACACAGATGAGCACACTCTCTAAATTGTGGGTGTCAGAACCCCCAGAATGAATGTAGCTTCAAAATCAGCTCCGTATCTGAAATTTACCCTGCAGGCCCTCAAAGGCTGAGTGCAGCCACCAGTGCTCATAACAAGCAAATCAACTCAACAGCCCATAATAAACAGCCACCCCACAACCGACCAAATAATACTCCATCCTGATGCCAAAGGGACCCCCTAGTCTAATTCCCATCCCCAAGCTGGGCAGAGACCCAAGTAACCCTCACATGTCAAAGCCACCTCATCATCCTGAATCCTTAGTGGTCCCCAATTCCTGGGTTCTCAGCTGTTCTTTCATGCATTCAAATAAAAACACACTCCGGTCTGAAGTGGGGGTCCCCGGACCTGATATCCAGCCCCACGGGCCATCATCGGTCATTCCTAGCCAACTGTACACTCTGCCCAGCCCATATCCGTGAAGCTTCTGCTTTGCGGCTGGATTCAGCTCTAGCACCCCTGCTCCCAATGAGCCTTTCCTTGCCTTCCCGCAAGCTCTCCTGAAAGAAAATATGAGGGTGTGATCCATGCCCATCTCTCGGACCAGGGACTTCAAATTAGGGTTGTTAGCCCCCTCCTGCCCTCTCTCCCTCCTCCCTTCTCTTGTTTACCCCACCCAATTTTAATATTAATGTTCAATTAAAAGTCACCTCCAAAGACATCTGGGTGACAGTGGCTAGCTTAATTCGAAAAGAAATTCCGGAGTTCCATGCTCAGGTCCCGCTTCGTGTCTCACCCACTCCCCTGGCTCCCACAGCCCGCGATTTCTCACCTCGGGTAGGAACCCCAGCCTGAGGGAACAGTCCCCTCGGTCTCCTAACTCTAACTCCCTCCGCCCAACCCTAGTCCCCTCCTAGGAGACAGAGGTGCAAAATAAACCCGCGCAAAGGGGAGGAGGCTAAAGGTTTCAGCCGACCAGACCGAATGGATCCTGCGCCCGGGTCTGACTGAGCGCACCCCCGGCCGGGTGGAGACGAGGGGCGAGACGAGGCCGGTGCTCGGCCGCCCCCTCGTGGAAGGAGCCGCACATTGCCGAGCCTTGCCTACTTGCCGCGCTGGACCGCGGCGTCCCGCCAGTCTCCGAGCGCTGCCGACGGGCGGGTACCCGAGGCCCTCGAGAGCGGGGACTGGGGGAGAGCGAGCGGGCTTTGGGCGGGAGTCCGTCTCTCTGGGTCCCCTACAAGGACTCGGAAGAGTTGGGAGCGAGAGAGGCCGGACGCCTAGGTCTCCCGAGCGTCTCTCGCCCTCCCGCCCCCACCTCGGGGCTTTCCCCACCTCCTCGAGGGGAAGCAGCTGGCGGAGCCGTCCGGTCGCAGGACAATGGAAGGAAACCAACTAGAAATCATATCCGCTCTCT